TCCAGTGAGGCACCAATCAGGGCCATCTAGACCTCGCAGAAATGTGGAACCCCCGAAATTCTTTGGCGAACAAAGATAAATTGACATCGTTCTCGAAATGGAAGACCCGATCACTGAAGTGACTACATTACAGGACGAAAAACCTAATTCCCCGAGGGCAACTTTCACCGTCACTTCATCATCGGACTTCCTAACGCCACTCGCAGAGGTAACTTCAAAAACCACCCTCGTTACCTTCAGTAACGAGGTATCTTCAGAAGTCTCTCTATCCCATTGGGACGAGCCAGACACACCCCGATTCAGACCATTTTGTCCAATACATCCTTCAGATCCTCTTATCCTCCCCGTCCTACAACAGACGCCACATCCGAGGATATAGAAGGAAACAGTGATATTTCGTCGACAATCGATCCAGACCTAAAACAAAGACTAGACGATTTTGATGCAAAATTCAAGTAAAACTGCTAAAAATTTTCAATTTTTACAGTATTTATCCTAACTTACCTTCGTTAATGTAGATAATTTTCTTACAAGTTAAATGTACATCTTGTAGTTTAGTTTTGTCTTGTTTTATTTGGTTTATCAATGGCACACCTGTAAATTCTGTATGTCCACCCTTTGTACATTTATACTTTCCAAATTTCATTTGTAGGCTCCATTTTGCTAGCTGTTCTATCACTCGTTAATGGCGTAGTTTGTAATTTTTGTTCCTACTTTGAAGGGGGAAATGGGTGAATGTAGAAATAGTTTTAGTTAATCTGTAGTTTTAAAATTTTTCCGGTGGGAAATGTTGTGATTTGTTTTATGACTATCTTTAAGACCTGCGGTATTGATAAGATACCAGTTAACGTTGCATGAATCGACCATCGGTCGATCACTGTGTGTTAGTTCTAGTTTATTCTTTTAAGTAATTGTACATCAGCTGTACATATCTACATAGATTAATAGAATATTTTATTAGAGCTCATATCTGATTAAGGCAAAAACAATAAAAAGGCTTTTTGAATGGCCTGAATAGAATTGAGTTAGCTCTGCAAAAATTTCAGAATGCTGTTGCTGGCAGAAAAGCCATCGTTCGCTTGACCGATGAAAATAATCAGTCAAAAAATCAATTGACACTGAAACCCTGGCAAACTAATATAAAAGTATCTTTTCTCTGAGTTTGTTTCATATCAATATTTCGTGACTTTGCTATAACAACATAAAAATTGGTCAAAAAAGAAAACTAATGACTATCAACCAGAATATGCAATATTCATTCATGCGACAAACAAGCATTTGAAATAATTACAAGGAAAAGAAAATTTATTTGTATTTAGGTTTTATGTGGCAAAAAGGCAAAAGTTTTGAAAACTGCCTCCTGAAATTAGCCTCTTCACTAGTTAGATAGGCCTTGCAGAAGCATTTTCTGATTTACACTACTAAGTTTGTGCAAACAACCCTTCCCCGCTCCTTCCTCAGAGATTTGACCCTCTGGTTACCCAAAAAGTCCTTCTTCTAATACTAATTTACGCCTTGCACTTTTGGCTGACCAATCCTACAGTTATGCGCTGAAACTTTGCCGAAATTGGGTCAAGGTCATTTTTGTTTTTTTTTCAGGTCAAAGTTCCAAAATTTTAATATAATGAAATATAAAAAACAAATTTGTGGAAAATTTCTGCGCGGTTATCAAATAAAGTGCCAGTTAATCAATCAGAGACCAAGTTGAAGTGGTTGCAAGAAATTTTGGCTATCATTTACTTTCAAATAAATGTAAATGACAAAATTCCTTATTTCTGGGGTATTAATAAAACGCAACCTTTTTTTGGTCTTTTTTGCACTGAATCTAAGAGGAGAACGAGCCAGAAAATTCTTTTTATTTAAGAAAAAGTGCCTCAAATGGCTTATATGACCAACAGATGGGACGAGAGCGTGTTTTTTTTAAGTTTTTTGTTTCAAAAAAATAAAATGTTTTAATTTTTTATTCCCTAAATCCGCCAAAAGAAATTTCGAATACCAACTTTAATGCAGTAAAACTAATTTTTCACAGCCCCAATAAAAGCTTATCCTAGATATGGACTTTCAAATCACTACTGAAAGGGCCTCAATATCACCAGCGGGTATTTGAGGGAGGGGCGGACGCTTCCGCCCTTCAGGAATCCGACCCCCTGCCGACCCAAAGGGTCCCCCTTTGTACTATTTTCAGATCTTCAACTTTGGCTGATGGACCCTTCGGCGTCAGATTATACTAATTTTTTAGGGGGAAGCGCGCGCCGAAAAAACGCAACTTTTTGGTCTGAATTTTCCAAAAAGGCCCAGAAACGCTTTTTTCAAAATTTTGCCTGCGGTGCAGAAAATTTGGTCAAACTGGTGTCTTTAAAAGGAATTATTGGAAAATTTTTCGGAAATCGCGCCCCCTCGAGAAAATCCTACATCCGCGCCTGCTCAATATAATATTTCACTCGACCCATTCCGATGATTAATTGTGTTACAAACAGGGGCGGATTTAGGGGGGGGCGGGGAGGGGGGGGGGGGCGGACGCTTTCCCCTCAGGGATTCGACCCCCTGCCGACCCAAAGGGTCCCCCCTTTGATACTTTTTCAAAAATCAATTTTTGGCCAACCGACCTTAAAATTTTTCTAAAGGCGCCTTTGGCGCCAATATATACTAACTTTGAGGGGGAGCGCGCGCCAAAAAAAACACAATTTTTTTTGTCAAAATTTTTCAAAAGGTGCCCAAAAACGGCTTTTTTGACTGTTTTTTTTCAAAAATTTGCCTGCGGCGCAGAAAATTTTGCCTAAATAGGGGCAAAACAGTGCTTTGGGAGAGCTCGAAAAATCAATTTGGTCGACCTAAAAAAAAAAAAAGTCGTCAAAATTTTCGATTTTTTTTTGAAAATCCGTAAAGAAAAATCTTAGATCCGCCCCTGGTTACAAACAAGATTTAAAAAAAAACTATAACACTCCCGAAGACAAAATAGCTACACACTTTCAGAGGTCGGGACAAAACGAATAATTTGTTGTTGTTCAGGTAGAGTTAAAAAATGTCAGTTTGTTCGGCCTAAATAGCGGTAAAGCGTGAAAAACTTAAATGAAATGCGCTTCTATTGCGATAATCATGATATCGGTACTTTCACTTTCACCAATAATAAAAATATAAATTTCCGAAAAATAAAAATCAGTGCAAGAACAAATATGAGTTCCACTTTTTGAAGCAAAAAAAATAGTATCAAAATTTTCTGTTAGATCAAATTAGGGGCTATTTTGGGGTCCACCCGCTCGCCTTGCCAACATCTGTCCCACCACTACGACTCCATGGCCACCCAAAGGATCCCTCCTTTAGTATTAGTTCACGATCCTTCCATTTTTGACCAACCAAGTCTAAATTGTTTTTAAAGACACCTTTGACGCCAATATACATTAAATTTGAGGGAAAAGCCCGCGCCGAAAAAAACGCGATCAGAAGTGTGTCCTCGGCGCGCTGAAAGTTTGAGTTGAATAAGCTATTATGGCGTTTTAGTAGAAAGCTTGATCAAAAGAAATAGAGAAAAGTTTTAATTATAATGACAATCCTCTCCCCCCCCCCCCCTCGCGAGCCTTTGTTACACCGGTTTCTATATGGCCTATGGCACAATCGGTACTGTAAACTACTATCAAATGGATCAATAGGACATGACATGATTGGCTCTTATACCTTTTAAACTTGTTAAATTTGGTCCTTTTCATCAGAAAACTATTTGGACAATTTATTTGTATATTTCAAACTGATAAGTTGGACACTTCGATGATTCGAAACTGTTTTTTTTTCAAAGCTGCCCAGGATTTTCTTGCGACCAGACCGCAGACTTCAAATGTTCCTGCTTAGAAACCTTTTACTCAAGCTAACTCAACAATCACATTCCATCGCATTCAGTCCAAAAAACACAAATGATGTGATTGCATACCAGATTATTGTTTGAGATCTGATTAGATCAAATAAATAAACTGAGCTTACCGTTAGAAGAAATACAATTTTTACTGTGAAATTTTCATTTGTTACATTTGAGATGAATAATCATTTTCTGTCGCGTTTTGAGTATTCAAGAAACGTATCTCGAGTGTTCGCAGAGGGGCGGGGGATCTCCAGAAACTTTCTGTGAAAAATAATTTCGATCTATGTTATAAGTAAACAGAATTGGTTCCATGATGTTTCGACGAGAAGTAAAAGGCTGAAGTTTGGCCGAATTTTCTCTACCGCGGATCAGTTTTTAATAGAAGAATCCCAAAATGTATTTCAAGTTCATATTAGTTTTGGTTCAGGATTTGTCTCAACCGTCTGTTTGCAGTAAAAAGACAGCATTGTTTTTTAGATTTTCCTCTATTCATTCTAAGTCAAATTTTTCATTGTTCATTTGATATAGCAATATGTGAGGCGTGGTTCTGTGACCCCTCTCATGGCAATCATGGCCGAACAAAGTATGTCTTCTTCGACATTCAGTCTCAACAGTGTTCCAGATTCTTCTAGAACATTCCAGCAATCATCTTCAAGCCAGGTCTCTCCTGATTCTTTTCTACAATCTAACAACACCGTCGGTAGAATTACGCATCGAAGTTTCTCGGATCCTCGGAACAACAACAAACTGTCGACTCTTTATGAGCGACGGCACTCGATGTTTCTGACTACTACGAATCGCCGCAGTCGCAAAAACTCAAAAGTCGGCTCGGGATCTAGCTCAAAATCAGAAGATTGCATAGGTATTTCAAGGTCACCCCAATGACGTCATGTGTTTTGTAGATGATCGTAACGAGAATGACTAAATATGGTAACTTCGAGTTGTCAGTGCGGGATGTTTATTTTTAGAAACTGACTTTTTCACAACTTTGTCTCTCTACCGTTTTCGAAACTTGCCTCAAGGGATGTCTTGTGGGGTGAAATTAAACGCTTGATGTTGTTGCTAATTGATCACTTTGCAATAGCTTCAGGTTATGGTTTGAGCTCTAAAAGCTTTAAAAGTTGTCATTGTTGTGTGAATGTGTTTACAGATGCGATTTTACGGCGGTAAGTTCTGATTTTTTGTTTTGGTAAGGTTCGATGATTCTTTTCCATGCAAATGTGGTTCAGGGCATCTCCTGGAGGCTTGTTTTTTTTTGGTTGCGCGAATATGAATATTGAACAGCTAATTAAGTGAAAACTTTCTTTGAAGTTAATTACAATCAAAAAACATCTCTGTAGAGTCATCCTTCCGCTATCAGTCGACGGTTAAAAATGGTATATGACGATAAAAAAGAGATGACGCTAGCAAAATTGTATAAGATGGCGCATAAAATTATAATATCACGGTATTTATAATCGAAAATTGGCCTGAATTGAAAAAAGATTTTGCATCTTAAATTTTTTTAAATATATTTTAAAGTATCTAATTTGACTCATTTAATGGCCAATTGTTTTTTGTTAAGAAAATTGTAGGATCTCTTCAACCATTCCCCCTTTGGTACCTTACCAATTGCCACCCTCAACCCTATAATGAACTAATTCAACGATTAAGCATATGTGAGTATTGTACCTATAGTAACGAATCCCCCCTTACAAAAAGAAGGAAATAGTAAAAGAGATCTAAATTGTACACCAGGGTATCGCGCTTTTGTCTCCGATCAGCGAAGGTGAGGAGGTATTATGAAATCAGGCGTGTTTTTGTGCCACGCAAAATGAAGTGCTACAAAAACATGCAGATGGGTCGAGTGATATGTCAAATTAAGCCACTTCAATCGTGATTCGATGTGTAATGAAATACTTCAAAAAATAGTGTCGAGAAAAAATTGATTTATGCAATAATTTTTCTTAAAGTTTCTAAAATAGTTTTATCTGAAAAAATGACCCAGGTCTCTCTTTCTACGCTTTTTGCAGTGCAACTGGTTATTCTTGTTCAGCAATGCAAAAAAAAATTGCGAACTGATAAAACTTTTGCATTAAAAAAGAGCTTCACACCTCGCCGGTTCTTGATATAATTTTAGCTACTTTTTCTTCATCAGTAAACAGCTCAATGTGAATCAATCAGCAACAAAAAAAGGCACAAAGAGTTGATACAATTTCAAAATGGTAATATAAAAATTGGTGTGAAATTAAAAATCAATTTTCTTATGACAAATAAATGGTGCTGGTATAAAATAATAATAAATTGACCTGATTGAACTTTTTAAAAAATTTTTGAACTTTTTTTGTAATAAAAAGAAGGGTAGCCAATTATTGTGCAAGTAGCAGAGAATGTTCAGACCATAGTCTAAAAAACAACTTTTTTTTACAAACTTCGTTTCTTCGGCGTGTGATAAAAGGATCTAAACGAAAAACTGGAACTTAAATATATTTAACAGTCATAGTAAAAAACGCAAATTGACAACAGTTTTGAAGAAAAACGACTAAGAAAACAACAAAAAAAGTATTGAAAAAAGTTCAAAAAAATGCATCAAAGTTTCTTTGCTGATGTTCTTTTTTGAAATTTAGACGTTTTTAATTCCCAAATTGCGCTAAAAAAAACTCCAAAAACATTCTTATTTGAGTTATGTTAAGTTTCATAGCCTACATTAGGCAAAAATTAGCTATGGCAAGCCTGTTCGCTCGCATTATTTGCTCGAGTTTAGACTAAAAATCAAAATTTTAAACCTATTTTTCTCGATGCTGGGACAACTTTTTGAAATTTTTTTAATGTAGTTCGAATCACTACTGAAAGGGGTTTAAAATGATATATCACTCAAGCCACTCCGATAATGACTTGTGGTACTTGGTTTTGCTCCAAAAACAAAAAAAAACATAGTACTGATGAAATACATTTTTTTTTCAGTTTAGTCTTGTTTTTTTCTGGTAAAATAGGCTAATTGGAACACAGTTTTTTAAAACAAGTGACCAGAACAACAAAAAGAAATTGTTAAGAAAATTCCAAAAATTTTCTACAGTTTTTTTTTTCAAATTTTTTTGCAGTTATTTTTGGTTTTTGAAGTTTTTGATTCCAAAATTGGAAATAAAAAACTTCAAAACCTGAGTTTAGTCCAGTTAAACTAAGTTTTAATGGCCTAATTAACGCAAAGTAAGCTATTGTAAACTTGCTCGCTGGCATTGTTTGCGTGAATTTTGACTACAAATCAAAAATTTTAAAACTGCTTTTCGCAATGCCGGGACTTTTTTTGAACTTAATCCAAAAACGAACTTCACCCAAATAAAACTAAGTTTTCACGACTTAAACTTAGCATTAAATAAGCTTTTGTAAGACTGCATAGCCTCCACCTTATTAGCTTGAAATTGGACCAAAAATCAAAATTTTCAATTAGTTTTTCTCGACACTGAAAAAGTTTTTTCAAAATGCTTCAGTGTCATTCGAATCACGACTGGAAAGGCTTTAACATATTATCATTCAACCCAGTCCGATGATTATTTTGGGTGGTACCTGATTTTGCCTGGAAAACAAAAAGAACAAAAAAAGAAAAAAACTAGAACACACCCGAATACAAATTTCTCCACATGTTTTTTTCAATGGTCTGAACAATAAAAGGCAATTTTCTCGTTACAACTAAGTTTTTATGATCTAATAATTTCACAAGAAACCACAACTTTTTTTTGTTGCTGTAATCAGAAAACAGTCCAATGTGGAGTCCCTGCAGCAGTGCCACCTCCTTGACCTCCCTTGTGATGAACAACCAGCAGCCGCAGCACCAACTGCTTCCTGGGGGCATGGAGGACATGTACTCCTCCCCCTACATGTCATACAGGCCAGGCATGGGGGGCATGATGTCAAGCAGGAGACACTCTTCAAGTCAGTCAGCTATGAGGCGGAGTACATCTTACGGGTACAATGGCAGAAATGGTATGCTTTACTTTGCTATGTGGTGGATTTAAATAACTATTTTTTGTCAATAGAACATGTCAACGCTTCCAAAGACAGTTCGGTCGAAATAAAGTTCAGACATTTTCATTAAAAGTATGCAGACAACTCAACCACAGACATTTCAGCCAAAATTGAATTCAAGACCCGAGTAATAAATAACAAGTCGTCAATTTAAGAACCGTTTTTTAGTTCATTAATTTAACTTTTCATGAAAAATTTGAGTTCCAATTTTTTGAAACAAGTTCTTTTTATACATTTTTTTTTAATTTTTAGCGCAAAAGTTTAATTTATCAAAACTGAACACAAAAAAAGTTTATGACACTCAAAAATTTTTGTGGTGATTTTTTCGCAGTAAATAACATTTCTTTCGTAAAACAAACCATTGAAAATTGCCATATTCTTGTTTTTAAAGGTCCGTTCCACTTCTCGAGGGAAAACTCAGTCCAGAGTCTCTCAGGAGGAATCGGAGCCGAAGGGGACGAAGACCAGGACGCCCGCTACATGACGCGGGCTCACTACTCCCGCAACTACCCTCCATCCCCCCTGAGTCGAATCACGAGTAGCTCCCAGACACTTAGAGGAGTCCATACATCTCAGGGTATCGCCCGCAGTGAGAGGAGGAGATCGAGTCAAAGGGGATCGAGGGGAATGGAAGTTGATTCTGAGTTGAGAAGGTCTTCTGGAAGCAGAATGGCGTCCATGGGTTAGCATCGGTTTACTTATTTTTTAAAGAAAATTTTCTGTAATTGCGAACATTTCGAAAAAAAATATTGCCAAAGCGAGACATTGTTGGTCATACAAAAAACAATGATTCCAAAATTTTAGGACTAGAATTATTAGCTTACGAAATATATCCTCACTATTTTTATTTAAGCAACTCATTACACTGAGGCGAAACGGAGTTTCGCAATATTTGCGATAGAGTTTAAAACATTCAATTACAAGATATTGAATCGAAAAAAGCAATTTTTGAAGCAGACTTTTGAGAAATCAAGCTGATACAAATACTTTAAAAATTTTTAAAAATATATCTACAAAAGATCACGAACATTTAACAATCATTGACTGAACCTCATTTTGAGAAGAAAAACTTGAGTTGACCAAAAATTTTCCAAAGAAACTAGTACAGTATCAAAAATTGTAAATTTTCAAGTCGACTATTTTTTCATTAAAATTTGGACAACGAAGATTCACAATCTGTTTTTTTTTCGATTAAGACCCTTAACTTCTGATTTGGCAGACAGTGTTTGAGAAAAGGAATTAATTTTTTCACCTCTTTTGATTGAATTCTGAACCTCAGATTTGTTTTGATAGTTTCTGAGAAAATGAAAATATTTCAAAAATAATTGTTAAAAATTCCTCTACTAAAGTTTTTGAAATTCATAGAACGCCCGTGAAGTAAACAAAGACAAACGCAATATCTATTCACACAGAAGTGTAGCCGGTCTCTGCATTGGTATTTTTTTTGAAAATTGATGAAATTAAATTTCGAGAAAAACTAAATCTTAGCAAAAAGATGAAAAATTTTCATTAATGTCTCAGAAAAAAAAAACAAAAAAATCAATTCCCATATATTTTCATCTTATCTGTTTTTTATCAAACAAAAACTAGCCAGCAATAAACCAGATACAAAATTCTAATATCATAAGCCAAATGTTACCCAGATATAAAAATGCTAGGGTGTCATCAAATAATTAGCACCTTTTTCTGCGACTTAGTGTGGAAAAAATGGATATGTAATATGACACTACGCTACGCAAGCCAAGCGTATCAAAATTGTATGGCCCATTTCTACTAAAACAGGCAAAGTTGTTTAAAAGTTAGTCCCTGAAGTGACACTTTCAGGGACTAACATAAGTTGACTAAGCCGACATAACATAAAATAAAGTTGGTAAGTTTACAAACTACAGAACAAATTGCTATCATAGTAAAAACTGTTTGAATCAAAATTAGAATGACGAGCATAAAATGACAAGCTTGCAAGACATTGCATTTGGGAAAAAAACGGAAACTCAGAGCCGATATAAATTAGGAAGAAAACCACAAATCCTAAAAAATCAACATTTTTCAATAAACATATTTGAAAAACTAAATACTACATCAATTGAGCTAAGAGATAATGTCACTTGAGTTTTTATGAAATTGAGCATGTCTGCAGAGTTTGTGAGAAGGGTTGTTTATGGAAAAAAAGTTAGTTCCCGATTACAAGTCACTTGCTCTCGCAAATGAAATTATCTGCACTGAAACTTTTTTTGTGATAATTAACACCACAGATCTTTGTCTGCTGGTACAAAGTATGACATGCAATTTTTCTCCGAGTTTTAATTAGCGATTAGGTATACTAAAAATTTCACAATGCATTTTCGCACAATATTTTGCTATAGAAAATTTGGAACATAGAGCAGATGCCAGTAGCACCAACTCAACGGAACAAATGATCACAACGACAACAGCAACAACAACACCCTCCGTTTCAGTACAATGCACAAGCAGAGACCTTTCCGAGAACAACCATGTCAAAGCTCACAGGAGGTCAAGCTCACCAGGGGACAAGTTTGCAATACCAGAGGAAGAAGAAGAGGTGGCTATGCAGAACCTGAATAGACCTAAAGACGTGAGGCTGAAGTCACTGTCAAATCCACACTTGCTCGTTAGTTTTCAGTCCCAGTCATAGCCGATGTTAAGAACGTCAATCCCAGTCGCAATTCGGTGGGTTTTAAAGTCGGTGGGTTTTAAAGTAACGCTCGACTAGCATGAAAAATTAAAACAACGAATTGTTTCATCCACCATAAAATGTGACAATCATATTCTCTGATTGTAATTATGTTTGTTTTTTGCTTAAGGATCAGTAGTCCTGCATAAAATCACAAGAAAAGCTGAACTTCCGTTTATTTGTTGTGGCCACATATTATCAGTGAGTAGAGATTTTGATTTCAGATGTGTTTTTTCCATGTTTTTAGTCACATCGAGATAAATATTATATCGAAGCCTTTTCGAACGAGATTACGATTCAGAAAAAAAAACAGCAGAAACCTTTTGCAGTCAAGAAAAGCTATTTCTGAGCTTTTGCTATAAATTTAGACGGCTTACAATTCCCATTGCTTCTGAAAAGACTCATTGACTCAGATCTAGGTCTAATGAGGGATTATAAACTCTACGTTTTAGACCGTTTTTCAAACAGAAAAAGATCTTGTGACTGTGTTTGTATGCAACCAACCTTTGTGCTCGATCAATGAGTTAGATAAATTAACAGACAAGTTTAATAAGATGAAATGTTAGTTCACCCTCAATTTAAAAAGAATCAGTGAAATGTCTTCAAAAATGACTAGTTTGGGTTCAGTAGCAGGCGTGACAAAAATGAAAATATAGTTTATTTAAATGAAGAGATGCGTTAGAATTTGCAAGCAAACGAAACTCTTAGACTTGTGAAAATTTTTTGACACTGTAAACCACGATATTTTACCAAAAATTGCTGCTCTCAAGGATTGCAGAACTTGCTTTTAAAAATAACAAAAATATTCAATTGATGGGCAAGGTTTCAACGAAAATTAATTTTTGCGAAAAATTATATAACAAAAACTTTTTAAATGTTTTTGTTTTTAAAATTTTTGATCTTTTTGTTGGTAAAACTATTGTGGAAGCAAAGTTCAGCACAGAGATCATTCTCCCAATTGGTGGTCGGAACAAGAAATTTTTTTGCTCATAAAAGACATGATCACTTGTTTGCGAATAGAAACATCTTTTACAAAAATTAGTCGAAAATTGTGGGCGATAAGAAATATTACTGGGGTATTCATTATGTATAGTTTTTGTTCCGATTTTCGTAGAAAGTGACGGAATATTTGAGCTCGGGGTGATTTCTTGTTTCTCCAGACAAATTTCAACTTTTTAACAAGCCATTTTAGACGAATTTTTAGTGTCATTGATGTCCTAAGCTCAAATTTAAAAATATATATATTTTTTCACCTGTGATCAATATTTGCAAAGTTATGGCGTTTTTAAAATTTTGAGCAAATTTGGGACAATTACCGCGGGATATATTTTGTGCTTTTAATGCGTAAGCGGAGACTTAATCCGTGTTAAAAAAAACTTTGAAATTGAGTTGAGGCATGCTATTTAGTCTATTTAATACTTTGCTACATGCAAAATGTATCATTTTGTTCATTACGTAACCCTTAGAGGATTTTGATACTCTATAAACCTTGAAAGGCAGTCGGAACATTCAATTCCTCGCCCTGATATGAGAAATTTACATATGATACCAGTCTTATATATGAGAAGTGTTTACATATGATATCGGTTTCAACAACTTTTATTTTAAAAGATGACGATGCCAAACAAATACTAGTAAACACAAAACAAGACCGCTTGGATATCAAGGCAAAGCCTTTAATTTTTCAAATGCACTTAGAGCCGATTTATTTTTTTTGTTAAAGAAAGACAAAATAAATGAAAAATCAAAGATTTTATTTGTTTTTTTTTCTTCAATTTATTCCCCACACGCTAATATGAACTTCTTACATATGATATCAGTCTCACATCTTAATAATGAGACCAAATTGCTTGTTTCAGCTCGATTTGGATAACATGAACCCGCCGTTAACGTTTGTTGTAAGAATGCAAAACATCGCGCTTTATTTATCCGAATTTGGCCAAATTAGCAATTTTCAAAACCCTATAATTTTACAAAAAAATAAGCACAGATGATTTTTTTTACATTTGAGTTCCGTATCTTTCAGATGGTTTCAATTTTTTTTTCAAAATTGCCTAATTTTAAGGCCGAAGTTTGACTGAATTAAAAAAAACTGGCCCAAGCAAAAATAGACCCAAGAATCGACAATTGTAGAATGTCGATTCTTGTTGTATCGATTACTGTTTTTCAGCGAAAGCCTACAAAGTTTTTCGTACTCATTTCTTTCAGTTGAATGGTGGTCTGATTTTGGGATATCTTGAACTTGCTCAATATCATCTTGCAATTGGTGGGACACATTATGTTCGTCTTCAGTTCTGAATTCTGAATCAATAAGTGCTAAGAAACGTGATTTAAAAAAAAATCAGTTCACATTTTTTTTCATCTAGGCGGTATAACTGTATTACGCTTTGAGTACTTTCTTATTAGTTTAGTTTTTGAATTTATTAAAAAATGACAAGCATGGAAGAAATCCTGAAACACAAAGATTATTGATTTGGTGTAATTTGTTCTATTAAATTCGATATTTGACTTTTAGTCTGTTTTGAAAAAACTTGGAATAGTAATCAAAATCTGTTGACCTATAGTCTGTTTTGAAAAAACTTGGAAAAATAACTAAAATTTATGATTTTTATTGATTTCATCAAGTATAACCAAATTTTTCCGGCCCTATATTGGCTATGTTTTAATTCAGGCGCCTATCTAGGACTTTCTTAGAGCTCTAGGAGCGCGTATTTTTAAAAAAACGTCGAATTTTTTGTCGACCTTCATTTAGGTTGAACAATTTGATTTTCTGAGCTCTCTCAAATCCTTATAATGACATTATTTCAACCAAATCTTCTGCGCTGCAGGCAAACAGACCAGCAACGCGTTTTTAGGCTTTTTTGAATTTTTTGACCAAAAAAAAGCGTTTTTTCGGCGCGAGCTCCCCTCTCAAATATAGTATATATTGGCGCCAAAGGCGCCCTTAGAAAAACTTTAGGGTCGTCACCAAAAATGGATATCTCAAAATAGTACAAAGGGGAAACCCTTTGGGTCGGCAGGGGGTTGAATTCCTAAGAAAAAAGCGTCCCCCCCCATCCCCTAAATCCGCTGGTGACTTCCAACATTTATGCGAAAAAAAATGAATCATAGAAACGATATATCAAAATTCTGAATAGAAATGCTTTCATCTTCAAATGTAACTTCCTGAAGGTGACATCAATTGACGTATATGACCTAGGTGAATCAAGAAATGAGGTATACCAATGAGTGTAAAACTGCGAAGGATTGCAGTTGTTAACCAATACGTCAATTAAAATTTTCAGCACGGGAGATTGGATTCCGCTTGTCTTCGGTATGTCTAAGTGTGTCGTTCAGTGCTTCCGCTCTGGAGTAACGTCATCCACGTTGACAAGTAACTTCCTGCACAAAGTTTCATGATTTCTTACCAAAAAAAAAACGTTCTTCAAAAATATTAAATTCATGGTCATCTTTTTTGTTTCATATGACAATAAATACAATAGGCAGAGAAATAAATGTGACTTCGACTTTGCCGAAAATTTTGTTTAGTTGGACCAAATTGGTTTTCCAAGCTGTGCTAGTCTCGAACAAACTTGCGAACAAATTTTAGGGTCGACCAGCAAAAAATGAATGACTAAAATAGTACCAAAGGGGCCCCTTTGGGTAGTCAAGGAGTCGAACTCCTGAGAGAGAAGGTGTCCACCTCACCCCACCAAAATCTTTACTTCAGTACATTCTTTGATCAACAATCATCATTTTGAAAAACAAACTCACAAAAAACAAGGATAGCCCGCTGCTGTGCTAGTAGCACAGAATGTTCCGACTACATTCTCAGAAAAAAAAACACTTTTTTTTTCCAAGTTAAAGTCTTTTTGTACGTCGTGTGATGATTCAAATATACGAACGGGTAGAAACTTATTGAAGTGGCGAAAGCGGCTCCAAGTGTCTTCAAAAATTTAATTAATGAAACACAAGAAAAAAATTTCAATGTTTTGCACAAAAATTTGAAATATTTTTGTTTCTTTTTTTTTTGCCAGAGAAGAGCTAAATCAGCTAAATCAGTTAAATCAAGTTTTCTCAATCTAAAAAGATAATTTTCATATATAACAAATGTTACTCAATTGCTTTGCTTGCCCGAATCGGCTTAATGTCTTTCAAATCGCAACTGAAAGGTCTTTAGTTTGATTTATCACTCGACCCTGTCCAATGATTATTACTGGTATCTAATTTTGCCTAAAAAAACTTTCAAATCGAAAAAGAAACAAGGATAGCCGGTTACTGAGCCAGAAGCACAGAATGTTCCGACCGTAGTCTCTAAAAACTACAAAACAGCCTTTTTTAAATTAGTGAAGTTTTTCTGCGTTAGGCCATGAAAAATTATGATCTAAAACTATTTGTTAGGCGTATTGACATTAAATACTAGCATAGGCAAATTAAACACAATTTTTTAAAGAAAATTAATTAGAAAAAAAACAATTTCAAAAAATTTCAAAATAAAAAAAAATTATTGGCAGAAACTCCAAAAATAAGTTTACTTCTTTCAAGTTAAGTTTTCGAGGTTTTAATTAGGCATAGCTAAGCTACTGTATGCCTGACCGCTCGCTTTATTCGCTCCAAATTAGACAAAAATCAAAAGATTCAAACAGGATTATCTCGACACTAAAAAAATGTTCGGGAGTTTTTTAATGTGGTCCGAATCACGACTGAAAAAGCTTTAATAAGATATATGCTATAAATATTTGTGGTATCTGATTTTGCGTGGAAAACAAGAAGAAAAAAACTAAAACAGACCCGAATACAAAGTTCCTCCCCATTTTCATTGGTCGGAACAATTCAAGATACTATAACGAAAAAGTACCAAAACATGGCAGAAACAAAAACATTCTCCGGTTAAGTGACACCTATAAAAATAGAATAGATCGAATCTGGCAACCTACAAACTGTTTCTAGATTCAATC